CATCATCATCAACATCATCATAATCATCATCATCAGTATCATCATCATCATCATCATCATCATCATCATCATCATCATCATCATCATCATCATCATCATCATCATCCCCTTCCTCCTCCAACCCTTCCTCCTGTTCATCCTCCTGCTCGACAGCCCCTTTCTTTCGTCGAATGTATGAATCCCCCTACCTGGTTTCGCACCACACGACGGGGGCACTTCGGGAAGCACGATCCCTTAGGACACCCAAGTTGACTGATAGAAAAAGATGTTGCGCAATAGGGGGGGATTGGTGGGATGCCAGATATGATATATGGAACGAGCGCGCCAAGCTTGGCATTTCCCCTCTCCCTTCCCCTCCGCTTCCACCTGGCCCCGCCCTTCCACCTCTCTTTTTTCCCCCTCCCACTTTTCCGTCCTTCTCTCCCTTCCGTTTCTCCTCTCTCCCCCCTTTCCCCCACCCCTTCCCCCCGCCTCGCCCCCGCCCCCCTTCTTCCCTCCCCTTTTCTTTCCCCATACCTATCCTTCCCTAACACCCCCCCCCTCCTTCTCTCCCCCTCCTTCTGCTGCCCCGGTCGTCCGCCGCCTCCCCTCCCCTCCGTCCTCCACCTCCGCTTCCCCCTCCCTCCTCCCCGTCGATTTCGGGGGCGCCTCCTCTGCCTGGGAGCCGGGGGTGGCCCACCCTCCTCCCCAGGGACGACGACGACGACGACGACGACGACGACGACGACGACGACGACGACGACGACGAGGACAACGACGACGACGACGACGACGACGACGACGACGACGACGACGACGACGACGACGACGACGAGGACGAGAACAATCACGAGGACGATGACGACGACGACGACGAGGACGAGGGTGACGACGAGGACAACAACGAGGAGGACGACGACGAGGAGGAGGAGGAGGAGGACGACGATGACGACGACGAGGTCGTCGCTCTTCCCAGTCTGGGAGGCACCCGCTTCCCCTGGGAGGCAGGTCCGCCAGCCCAGACCACGGACAGTCGCCCTGAGGCCGCCAAACTCCCTACAGTGGAGGTCCATGCCAAGAGAACACCCTGCTTGCCTCTGGGGTGCCCTGGGTGTGCTTGGGTTTCGACGGTTTTGCTCCTGACAACGCGACGTTCCCACGCCAAGAATCCGTGGACGTCTTGGGGCCTCAGGGTTGGGTTTCTTGTGCAAGGTCTCTTGTGGACTGGCCTCCAGTGCACCTTCCCCCCCCGCCCTCATGAAGCTCGATGGAGCGGTAGGCGCAGAAGCCCCTCTTCCTCCCACCCCGTGGGCCCTGTGAGGACCGACCGCGCGCTGGCCGCGGCGCAGGAGAGCCGCGGCAGGGGGGCAGGCGCAGGGGTGGCGGGTGCCGTCCTCGCGTGTGTGTGCGTGTGTGTGTGTGTGTGCGCGTGTGTGTGTGTGTGTGTGTGTGTGTGTGTGCGTGTGTGTGTGTGTGTGTGTGTGTGTTCGTGTGTGTGCGTGTGTGTGTGTGTGCGTGTGTGCGTGCGTGTGTGTGTGTGTGCGTGTGTGCGCATTGAATTCTTGCAGTGTGTGTTTGTTTTTGTGTGTGCGTGTGGTGTGTGTGTGCGTGTGTCGCATGTGTGGAGGTGTGTGCGTGCGCGCGCGCAAATATCGTATTGTGTGTGTGTGTGTGTCGTGTGTGTGTGTGTGTGTTTGTGTGTGCGTGTGTGCGTTGTGTGGGTGTGTGGGTGTGAATGTGTGTGTGGGTTGTGTGTGTGTGTGTCTGTCTGTCTGTCTGTCTGTCTGTCTGTCTGTCTGTCTGTCTGTGTGTGTGTGTGTCTGTCTGTCTGTCTGTCTGTCTGTCTGTCTGTCTGTCTGTCTGTCTGTCTGTCTGTCTGTCTGTCTGTCTGTCTGTCTGTCTGTCTGTCTGTCTGTCTGTCTGTCTGTCTGTCTGTGTGTCTGTGCGTCTGTGCGTGACTTGCCTGAGCGGGCCCGGCTTCCTCTCTTCCAGTCGCGCCGGGGCCTCCTTCTCTCCTCACGCGCACTGCGGCCCAATTTGCATCCAGCGCGCCCCACTGATGCCCGATGGCCGGAGCAGTAACCTCTGCCCAGCCGCCGACGCAGAAATGCCTCGGCCCGCCGCCGGCGCTCCACGCCGCTTGCTCTGGCCGGCGCCGGGCCGTCTTGCACCACCTGGCGCCCGCGGACTTCGAAAGAAGGGTGTGCGCCCAGCGGTCGTGCGAGCACGTGCCGGGGGCCTCCTCGCCGCCCCCATCTGGCTCCGGACCCGCCGCGCTGCTGTCATTGCCCTGCGTTCTGATGCAGGGTCTCGAGGCGAAGCCAGCCGCGAAGCCGATGTCTTCCCCAGGAGGCCCGAAACGGCGAGAGCGGTGCAATGGAGGCCCTGGCCCCTTTCACCCTCTCCCGCCCCCCGGCTCGAGCGCGCGATCTCCACGGCAGACTTTCGCGCCTTCGTCCTTCCATCCTGGAAGCTTGTGCAAGAACGGCCCCCAGGGAGTTGTCGAGGGTGGCCCTGGCCCGGGCGGCGCGCGCCACGCAGTGCCTCTTGGGGCACCGCTCGGAGCTCGCGGGACGGCGGCAGGAGGCGGGCCGCTACCAGAGCATACCCCACTTTGCCCCTGCAGCGCGCGAGGGCCCCGCCCTCCGCACGACGGCTTCGCGACAGAGGCGTCCCGATGAGCGTGCCGTCCCGAGTCCCCGCTCGAACGGCCTGTGCCCCAGCTGGCCGCCCCGCGCTTGCGCTCTCCGCTCGAACGGCCAGCTGCCTCAGCTGTGCCTCGAGCAAGGCAGGA